TGGATGAAATTTGGGTGATACGGGGTCAAGACGGGTCAAAGGGGTCAGCCCCGGTCACTTTGGGTTAGGCCAGGTCACATAGGTCACCTCTCGTCCAGCTGGGATCAGCCCGGGCCACTGTTCTGCTTTTGCCTCCACCACTACCCCTACCCCTACCACTACCCCTACCCCTACCACTACCCCTACCCCTACCCCTGTCCCCTACCACTACCCCTACCACTACCCCTACCACTACCCCTACCACTACATCTACCCCTACCACTACTACTACCCATACCACTACCCCTACCAATACCCCTACCACTACCCCTACCACTACCCCTACCACTACCCTTACCACTACACTACCCCTACCACTACCCCTACCACTACCCCTACCCCTACTCCTACCAACACCGCTGGGTCATGTCAGGTCACAGAATAATTCGTGCCATTCCATTGCCCTTACTCGATTTTGTCGGAAATGGCGCTTTGTGGCAAATGTGGCGCATTGCGGCAAATGCGGCGCATCTGTACCTGTTGTTTGAGCATGCATCTTGACACCAAATTACACCCATATCGGACTATATTTGACAAAACTGTGCGAGTTGCGGCGAAAATGACGCCCTGAGATAATTGTGGCGCATTGCGGCAAACGCGGTGCATTTGTAAACTCGTATCACAAACTGTTGCCATTCAACGAAAATCTACACAATCTCTCGCCACTATTTATTCAAATTAAAACTTGCCCATCCGCCAATGCGAGGTACTCGCCGCCGATCGGCATGCATTTAGTCCCCAAAGTTTGTCGACCCCGGCTCTCAATGAAGATCTACGAACCGATCAAAATTTCATTGGCGTTCTTCCAGCGCGCCCCACGCGCGAACCGTGCACCCCAGCGAGTCGGAACCTAGAAAAGGCGCTGACCCGGTCTATCACCTATAAGGTGTGCAAATTTCAACCCCCTACGATATACCGTCTGCCCTGTAGGCGAGTGGAATTGAACCCACTACCCATCCAGGATGATGCGCCTGGATATATTGCAGACGGTGCGAACTGCAATATATTGGGGAGACCAAGTGCGGACAGACAGACAGATGGATCCTGTTCAAATAGTAAGTTAGACAAGCGGCTGCGCCACTTGCTTTGCTGCGTGGTAGGAAAAAATTGCGGCACCAGCCAATTTGCTTTCGAATGGTGTTCGATTCAAGTCGATGTGTCGTCTAGAAGCATAGATATGGACGGAAATGTGAAGAGAATTTAAAACAGAACTGTTCTGAGGGCGTTGTTGGATGAAATTTGGGTGATACAGGGTAAAGACGGGTCAAGGGGGTCAGCCCCGGTCACTTTGGGTCACGCCAGGTCACATAGATCACCTCCCGTCCAATGGGATCAGCCCGGGCCACTGTTCTGCTTTTGCCTCCACCACTACCCCTACCACTACTCCTACCCATACTCCTACCCCTACCACTACCCTACCACTACCCTACTACTACCCCTACCACTACCCATACCACTACCCCTACCCCTACCCCTACCCCTACCCCTACCACTACTCCTACCCATACTCCTACCCCTACCACTAACCTACCACTACCCCTACTACTACCCCTACTACTACCCCTACCACTACCCCTACTCCTACTACTACTCCTACCACTACCCTACCCCTACCCCTACCACGACCCTACCACTACCCCTACCCCTACCAACACCGCTGAGTCATGTCAGGTCACAGAATAATTAGATCCAATCAGTACTAAAATATCAGACTTAAAGTGTTCCCAGCCCTGCCACTATTCGTGCCATTCCATTACGCTTAATCGTATTTGTCGGAAATGGCGCATTGTGACAAATGTGGCGCATTGCGGCAAACGCGGCGCATCTGAACCTGTTGGTTGAGCATGCATCCTGGCACCAAGTTGTATCCTTATCGGGCCATATTTGACAAAACTGTGCAAGCTGCGGCAAAAATGGCGCCTTGTGACCAATGTGACGCCTTGCGGCAAACGCGGTGCATTTGTAAATTCCATCACAAAATGTACCCATTTAGCGACAGTCAACACATTTTTCGCCACTTTTCATTCAAATTAATAACTTGCCCATCCGCCAATGCGAGGCACCCGCCACCGATCGGCATGCATTTAGCTCACAAAGTTTGTCGACCCCGGCTCTCAATGAAGATCGAAGAACCGATCAAAATTTCATTGGCGTTCTTCCGGCGCACCCCACGCGCGAACCGTGCACCCCAGCGAGCCGAAACCTAGAAAAGGCGCTGACCCGTTCTGTCACCTATAAGGTGTGCAAATTTCAACCCCCTACGATATAGCGCCTGCCCTGTAGGCCGGCTAAATTGAACCCACTACACGGCGTGGCGGACAGACAAACAGACAGATGGATCCTGTTCAAATAGTAGTATAGACAAGCGGCTGCGCCACTTGCTTTGCTGCGTGGTAGGAAAAAATCGCGGCACCAGCCAGTTTGCTTTCGAATGGTGTTCGATTCAAATCGATGTGTCGTCTAGAAGCATAGATATGGACGGAAATGTGAAGAAAATTAAAAAGAACTGTTCTGAGGGTTTTGTTGGATGAAATTTGGGTGATACGGGGTCAAGACGGGTCAAAGGGGTCAGCCCCGGTCACTTTGGGTCAGGCCAGGTCACATAGGTCACCTCTCGTCCGATGGGATCAGCCTGGGCCGCTGTTCTACTTTTGCCTCCACCACTACCCCTAACCTACCACTATCCCTACCCCTACCACTACCCCTACCCCTACCACTACCCCTACCCCTACCCCTACCACTACTACTACCCATACTCCTACTCCTACCACTACGCCTATTACTACCCCTACTACTACCCCTACTACTACCCCTACCCCTACCACTACTACTACCCATACTCCTACTCCTACCACTACCCCTACCACTACCCCTACTACTACCCCTACCCCTACCACTACCCCTACCACTACCCCTACCCCTACCACTACTACTACCCATACTCCTACCCCTACCACTACCCCTACCACTACATCTACCACTACCACTACCACTACCACTACCCCTACCCCTACCCCTACCACTACTACTACCCATACTCCTACCCCTACCACTACCCTACTACTACCCCTACCCCTACTACCCCTACCACTACACCTACCCCTACCCCTACCAATACCGCTGGGTCATGTCAGGTCACAGAATAATTGGATCCAATCAGTACTAAAATATCAGACTTAAAGTGTTCCCAGCCCTGCCCCTATTCGTGCCATTCCATTACGCTTAATCGTATTTGTCGGAAATGGCGCTTTGTGGCATATGTGGCGCATTGCGACAAACGCGACGCATTTTCACCCGGCGATTGAGCATGCATCTTGGCACCAAATTGCACCCATATCGGACTATATTTGACAAAACTGTGCGATTTGCGGCAAAAATGACGCCCTGAGATAATTGTGGCGCATTGCGGCAAACTCGGTGCATTTTTATACTTGTATCATCAACTGTTCCCATTGAATAAAAATCAGCACATTCTCTCGCCACTTTTTATTCAAATTAAAACTTGCCCCTCCGCCAATGCGAGGCACCCGCCACCGATCGGCATGCATTTAGTCCCCAAAGTTTGTCGACCCCGGCTCTCAATGAAGATCTACGAACCGATCAAAATTTCATTGGCCTTCTTCCAGCGCGCCCCACGCGCGAACCGTGCACCCCAGCGAGCCGAAACCTAGAAAAGGCGCTGACCCGGTCTGTCACCTATAAGGTGTGCAAATTTCAACCCCCTACGATATACCGTCTGCCCTGTAGGCGAGTGGAATTGAACCCACTACACGGCGTGGCGGACAAACAGACAGATGGATCCTGTTCAAATAGTAATATAGATTATTTATCTTTTTCATGGAGCATGATTGAGTGCACCAAAATACATTTGTTGTAACGAAATTCATTCCTAACCCGTCCTCCGCCTCCCTCTGTACTTACTGTCCAGCCCCCTTACCCACTAACAATATCCTTATATGGTCCTCGCTCCTCCCCTGTGACGCCTGTCCTGGCCCACTTCTGATTGGTGCTATGATATGACGTACATCTGTATGTATGATGCATATGTGTGACGTTTGGATGTAGCGGCCGACGCCGACGCCGAGCAGGAGGGATTCGAAAGCCAACCGCCGTAGTGGCCGGACGGACTGTTATTCAAAGTCTCGGCCGATTGTCTATCACTTTTGGATTCTATTGGTAAACTTACAATACATACTTGAAGAAAAGAAAACCGTGTTGGTTGTACGGCTCGAGCAAGAGGTCCTAAAATAGACTATCACAGAAGAAGAAATTGTTTAATTACTATTTATATTTGCTACACATGTGCCCAAGTGACCTCCATGAAGTAAGCTATTGGCCGCTTATGCGGTACCTGGGCTATAAGAGTGCTCAAGATATCTCGTATGTAGCTCCAAGCTAAGAGTATTTTTCTAAATGTCGAGAAAAGAATATGAAACATGACACCGGCCCATATCTCCCGGGTCATCGCCCATACCTCTCGGTGTATTTTGATGAATCGAAAAAGCGCATGACTTATTAAAAGTTATCTCGAGACAAAAAATGTGATCCCAGATGCCTAATATCAGGCACGCTTTACAGGCGAAAGGCAATTGCACGTACACAGAGTGAAAAAGCAGGTCTAGCTCTTTGGTGGAAAATTACCTTTTCACAAAACCGGCCCATACCTCCCAGGTCTCCCCTAGGCTTTTTTTAACAGTCGCACGCTTACCCGCGAAAAAAAATGAACCTATTACACGCCGGGGTAGACACGGAACAAATTAGCCCTAATTTGAAATTGTTTTAACGGACTTAAAAAGCACTATGCACTAAAGCACTAAAAAGCACTAAAAGCACTAAAAAGCAGCTAAAAAGCACTAAAAGCACTCGATATTCTGTCGAGCTCGTCGTGTTAGCGGACACATATAGATGCCGGTTCAAGAGTGCTAAGCGCTGATAGACCGCACCCCTGTCGACCCACTTACGGTGACGCTTTGAAGACGTAGATACCCAGCACGGCCAGGATCTCTTGGAACGAGCGCACCGGCACCTTGGGGAACACGTGCTTCACCAAATCGTGCAGACTGACGTAGAGTACCGAGAAGTCGTGCGCCACGCCATTAATGCACGGCACCGTACGGTTCTCGATATTCTGTCAAGACCACGGCAGAAACCAGGTCAAGTAACACAGCCCGGCCGCAGCGCCAGGCACTTCATAACGCAACAACAGCTATCATATCAGTCATCATACAGTTGGTTAGCCCTCAATTGCCTCCTTAAACATTAACCCGCGCATGACTGGGGTATTTTCCAAACCGCGAGTGACTGGGGCGGGGGGGGGGGGTGAAGCTTTACAGAGCCCCTATCCCACTCCTAGCTCCGAAACTACTGGGCTGATCGTCAAAATTCAACAGCGTCTGATAGTCCTGGAAAAACTGCCGAGCGAAATCTAACTTCATTGACCTCGAGGTAACCGATGACGCCACCAGTCAGGTCAAAGTAAAAATTATCAGCATTTTAGCTTGTTCACAATTTAGGCTCTGGCCGCCGGCTAACAAGTCCGATCCATTGACCTATAATAAGTATAGACAGACTGCTCTGGCTTAACCCTCGCATGTGTGTGTGTGGGGGGGTCGGATGGACCCCCCCCCCATGGTTTTTCGCGAATAACTCGCGTAAAAAGCGGCCGATCGCGACGAAACTTACAGTACCCTCGCATTGATCAATTTTACACCTACCCTAAAAATTTCATGACCCTGACCCAAATGACCTTTGACCTGTGACCTCTTTTCCGAGACCATGTTTGGCCGGAATCGCGATTCCGCGTATGTCGGCTCGCATTAGCCGCGCGTTTGCAAGCTTTTCGTGGTTTCAAACGTTCAAACATGTGATTTGATGTTGCTCCCATGCATTAGGGTGGGTGTCAGGGTCACCTGAAGGTCAGGTCAGGTCATTGACCTTTGGTGACCTCGGGTGACCTCGATTCACTTTTTCGAGTTTTACATGTTTCTAGGCTAGTTTTTGGAGCTGAATTCGAATTTAGCAACCATTTGAACATTTACGAAGTAGTTTTGGTGCCTTCGTAACATGTTACGAATCTGTCAGAGGCGGTTGACACGTACTACGAATACCTATCACAACCCCTACTGGTTGACCTGACCTGACCTGACCCGACCTGGACTAAATGCATAAAGACATCATCTGTGATCAAAACTAACATGATATTCGTGATCAGCACCCCGAAAAACCCCTTAGCAGCCACACTTTACGACTTTCTAATAGGTCCCGATTTTCCCGACTTTGGGTCATTGACCTGACCTGGAAGGTCAACCAATGACCTAGGACCTTAAAATTGGGTATCATCGGCTTCCTCTCGTCACGGGCAACACGCTCGTTTTTTCCGCGAAGCTCTAGCTCGATCAGGGGCCAAACGGCAAGGGGGGGGGGTCCAACCGACCCCCGCGACACTAGCGCCACCGTACGTGTAAGGGCACGAACTAATGACACAATGCTTTGTCTATGGGAAAAACGCGAAAGTATATCAACTTCTTTCTCGTAAATAACACGACGGAACGGAACGAGACTACGTCTACAATGAAGAAGCGTCAAAGCTTAATCACCTGAAAATACGAGGAGTGAATGAAAAGTTTTGAGCCTAACACATTTACAGGTGACGCAGGTTAATGAAAATTTGGTCACACATTTTGCCACTATTTTTAGGTGTGTACTTCAAGTTTTGAAGTCCTAGTCCTTTTCGTTTCGTTTTTAGAGCCCGTTAAAGTGAAGAAGATTACGCGTTCGGTGAAAAGGGAGAAAATCGAGAACCGAGCTTTTATTAAGTATTGCGACATCAAAGCACGGACGTATAAATAAACTGGACCCGCAACCACCTCCATTCAGGTGAAGCCGACAAGACGCCATTTTACGTTGCCAAAAAACCGTGCTCTGGAAGGTCATCGAGCCAATACAATTAGAATTGCGTCCAAACGGATGATCGGATCGAGATGCTGGTGGTACCGTTCGACGGGTAATTCCTTGAGGCAGGTGATGATGGATGTCACATGTCACCCGGTGTCACATGGCGCGTGCCACGTGCCGACAAACTTACAAAGGGCAAAAACCTTTAAGCGACGCCTCAAATCAAACGAAGGGCGGCACAGGTGCCAAACTCACAGGTCACATGTCCCAGTGTTCGACCACTAACATATGGTATACTCGGCATCAGGGGGTGCGGAATGCACGCGCTAGTGGCGAAAAACATGTTTTGAGGAGGCATCCTCCGATTCCGGAAAACCTTGACCTATCACCTAGGCACACCAAATTTGGCACACTGACACTACTGGACACGCGCTTTAAGGTGCTGTACAAATCGGCGTGCTGGGGTACACGGTGCACGTGCTGTGCACGTGCAAACCTTTTGATGTTGCACTCTGTGTCACATATACGGGTAGGGCGGGTAGCGCTGGCAAGCTCAAAGTGCCAGATTTACACAGGCCACCCAGAATGCATTCTAGCATAGTTATTGAGTATATCCGTCTCCTGGTGGCCCCCAAAGGTGCGCTCTGCACGTGCAAAAAATTATCCGCGCCGGGCGGTGGGGATGCTTGGACATCCTATGTGGATTTAAATAAATATCTCGAAAACGGCGTTGTGTAGCGCCGCCGTTTTTGGCACACCTTTTCATACATCTTTTTCACACATGCTGCGTAACTTTCAGACTTAAGTCACTCAAGGTTAGGTCATCAGGTTACGTCCAAGTGACCTTACCTTAGGAAAATTTATAGTGCCCATCATAGCTATACAGACTGAACAATCGGTTTAAAACGTGCACCGATTGATAAGAGAAACAGTATATACGTAGAGTACCTCTACCTCGGAATTTCAATCAGTGGCGGCGGAACACCTTCAATTAACCCGCGCCCTGGTGGGGTCTGTTTATAACGCGACCTGGTGGGGGGGAGGGCTATTTTTTGCCCCCCCCCCCCGTATCTCCGAAACTACTGGACGGATCCGCAAAATTCAAACGGCGTTCGAAAGGCCTGTCAAGTTTATCGAAGGAAACCAAATTTCATTGACCTCGGGGTCACCGATGACGTCATAGGTCAGGTCTAAGATGAAATGTTTCACCGCTCACGGGTCTTCTAGGGAATGCGCTATAACACCGAGGAAAACGCCTTTTGTCGAGAATCAGCGATAGGGCGTCAGTTGCCTAGTAGATATGTTGCTATTAGAGGTCCTGACAATACCAGGTCAGGTCACAGGTCAGGTCACCAAGGGTCACAGGTCAGGTCACAACTGTCACATGAGCCCAGCTTTACTAAGGTTGTGTGATGCATGTTTTATGGCCAATTTTTCATTTCCAGCTCAATGGTGCTGGTTATAAGACTATCAGGTACGGCTTAGGTCACTTTCTGGTGAAGTGCAGGTCAAGGTCAGGTCAAGGTCAGGCCAAAAAAGGTCAAATTTTAAAGTTGATAGTTTTGCATAAAATGGGTATTGATTCGATGCAGCTCGTCTCGGGGAGTCTAATGGTGGTCTTTGTTTTGCGCTACGGGGTCTAGAATTGCTAAAAATTGAGTTTTAAAATTTGACGTCATCAATTTTGAACAGACTTTTCGCTATAACTTCGCCAAAAAAAAAGAGATATCAATCTCAAATTTGGTATGTGGATGGAAGGCGGTAAGGACTAGCACATATATTCCGGTTTTTGCGAAGTTCAAAAAACTTGTTGGATTTTTCGATAATTTTATCCAAAAAAAATATTTTTTTGATTTCTTGGGTCAAAATCCAAAAATTTCAGAAATCCGAGATAGCAGTTTTGTAGCCCTGTCCATTCTACAGCTTTTATGTCTTATCATTTTTTCTGTATTTGCAAAGCTCTAGGCCTGACAGCTCTTCCCGCGAAACCCTTTTTTGGGTCGAAAACGGCAGAACTTGACGTCACTCTGACGTCATTTCCGGCCAACCTATCATAGTTTTTGGAAACAATTTTGGTCACAATGTGTAAAATTGATGTCCGGGAGGGTACTGAAAGTTTGGTGACGATCGGCGCAGCGGTTCTGGAGATATATCGAAAAGTCTGGAGGGGGGCAAAAAATAGCCCCCCGCCAGGTCGCGGGTTAAAGGGGGGGGGGCACTGCCGACTTTTGGTCCCATTCTTTCCATGCAACGCCCATGGATGGAAAGGGCTATGTTAAAATGCCAAAATCAAAGGGGCACGGTGCCCCCGTGCCCCCCTCGTTCCGTCGCCTATGATTTCAATATCACTTGCTTGCTCAATGCTCATTGCTCAGGGCGTATTGTAAGAGCACTGCGGCACAGCATAGATGCAGGCGCTTTGCTACTGCCATCTATGGGTGAAAGATGAAGATAATGGTTATTGCGGTACAGTATGACTGCAGGCGCAAACAACGTAGATAACAAAGATGCCTATGCTGCGCTGGCCGGCGATTGAGGCGTAAATTTGCGTTGCTGGGTAGCATAAAGTTTAGGAGCCCGAATTTGACAAAATAAATGATTTGCCGTGCTGGTGGTCTGAGGTCGCAAAGCAACAGAACCCTAGGATAGTGATATTGAAATTTCGAGGTAGAGGTAGGTACTCTACGTATATACTGGTGATCTTATCAATTGCTGCACGTTTTAAGCCGATTGTATAGTCTGTGTAGCTATGACGGGCATTATAATTTTTCCTAAGGTAAGGCCACTTGGACGTAACCTGGTGACCTAGCCTTGAGCGACGTAAGTCTGAAAGTTATGCAGCATTTGAGAAAAAGATGTATGAAAAGGTGTGCCAAAAACGGCGGCGCTACACAACGCCGTTTTCGAGACGTTTACATAAATCCACATAGGGTGTCCAAGCATCCCCACCGCCCGGCGCGGATAATTTTTTGCACGTGCAGAACGCACCTTTGGGGGCCACCAGGAGATGGATATGCTCAATAACTATGCTAGAATGCATTCTGGGTGGCCTGTGTAAATTTGGCACTTTGAGCTTGCCAGCGCTACCCGCCCTACTCGCATATATGACACAGAGTGCAACATCAAAAGGTTTGCACGTGCACAGCACGTGCACCGTGTACCCCAGCACGCCTATTTGTACGGCACCTTAAAGCGCGTGTCCAGTAGTGTCAGTGTGCCAAATTTGGTGTGCCT